TTTTGTCAACTACATATTTAATTTCAAGAAAAATATTATTTGTCAAGTAAATATTTAATTTGAATTTTGTTTCTAAACTAAATATTGAACTTGCTGAATAAATATTAATAAAAACAAATCAAATACTTTAACATTTAACTTGCTAAAAAAATATATAAATGATAGAGTGATTATATTACCTTGAAATTTTAACCAGCATTTTTTTTCTCATATTTTAGGCTAAATGTCATAATGGGTTTCAGGATGCTAGGCCATATGCAGAACACAACCGGAGGCAGGGAAAAAGTTCAAAGGTTTAATGAAGGATGTGTACAAAAACAGGTCAGGTGGGTAATCAGGTCCAGGGCTGGTCACGACTGGATTCACTGTTCAGAGGTTTGAGCTGAGCGGCAGAAGGGGGAACCAGTAGGGTCCAGAGGCTGTCAGCAGGCTGAGGACTTGGAGGAGGCTGAGCTTGGTTTAGGGCTTGCAGATTCCGGGTTTGAGTTTCCCTTCCAGATTCTTCAGGAAGCAGGTGGGCAGATCTTTGGCAGGTTTGGTTCTCCAGGGTTTTTCTGAGATCAGACAGACCGATTTCCAACAGAGAAAACTCTTCAGGGCGTTTCTGGTTTCAGGCAGGTTCAACCTGGGAAGCAGAGAAGACTAAATGGATCAGGTTCAGGTTCTGGTTTCGTAGTCAAAAGACTAGACAGACAGGTTGGCTCAGGGTTTGCTGTACCGTGACTGACTAACACTCTGGTACTGGAGTGAGGTTCTCAGCCTGCTTAAGTACTGGTCTCCTGATGAGCAGATGAGGAACAGCTGGTGAAGTCAGCTCCAGCTTCAGGAGATCCAATACACCCTCTGGTGGAAAAAGGTAGACAGAACCCCAGATCCCAACAGTAACACAAAACCCCTAGGAAGGGATCCTCGGCCCCCTCTGGTGGGCAAGCTTCAGGATCCCAACAGAGCCCCCCTCTCAAGGGCAGCTTCCAGACGCCCTCAGAACAGTCCATAACAAAAACACAAAACAACCCACCCAGGGTGGGCAGAGGGGGAAACAGGCAAGGAGGGTAAGAAAAAACAAAAACTGAGCTCAGAACAAAAAATGACCCACTTAAGGTGGGTGATAACGAAAAAAGTTCTAGAAGGTTTACCAGGTAGAGTCTCTGGAGGCCGGCCGTGGGGCCTAATATGAGAAAGAGTCTCAGGTGGCCGGTCGTGGGGCCGGCAGCGAGGCAGAGTCTCAGGTGGCC